AGTTGAAGGGGGACGTAAATCAATGAGGGGTGGGCCACTGAGAAGGAAAGAACTGCAGACTTCCGAGACCACGGAGAGAGGGTGAAAGGGGATGAGGGGCCTGTAAAAGCAGAAGCACTTTTCTCGTTCCGTCCTGAAGCAAGAGCGGGGCAGTGGAAGGGCAAGCTGCAGCCCCATTTCTTAACTCCCAGGACATTTGGGAGACGTCCCAGGCAGGCATGGGTAGGTGACACTGAGCTATGGGGTCAAGTGTGTGAGATTCTGTATAGACCTAGGGTAGGTGGCCACGTGCCCAGGTCATCTTACCCCTCCTGTCACCTTCTCCTTCCCGGGCCAGAGCACCCACCCAGCTGGGTGGCGCTCCTGGGTGTGGGGTAGAAGAGCAGAGGGAGGGCTCTTGCTTGGCAGAGTTGTTTGGAGTGGGGAGACGCAGACATAGACAGGTGGAGGCCCGGCAAGGCGGTGGTGGGCAGAAGAGCTGATGGAGACCGCACAGGCCACGTCTCCTCTAGGCTGGGTGACGACACTGAAGTTGAGGCATGAAGGGTGGTTCTTCCGGGTAGAGCAGGGAGATGGAGGTGTGCACCAGCAGTTTCGGAGGGAGGAGGGGGGAGGGGGAACTGCTGGGAAAGGCACAAAGTTCCCCACACACTCAGCAGGGGAGGGGCGGGTGTCAGGTCTCACCCTCCTGCTTCTGTCACTCAGTCCCTCCCAGCCCCCCTTCTTTGACCTTGGGACTGTGGGCTGATGTGCAGTGCCTGGTGGTCTGGGCTTGGCTAGGGCCAGGCAGGAGAGTCGCTCCATGCATCCTGTGTGGGCACTGGGGATGGGGGGGTGAGTAACCTGTCCCCAGTGTCATGGCAGAGAAGTTTCCCAAGGCCACGAGAGCCCAGCGTAATTAATTGTTGGTAAGGGAGGATCAGGGTCTATTTAGTCCATCCTCCTCCCGTTACTTTTCCTGCTGCCTGGAATAAACCTGGACGTGGGCTGAGCTCTGGAGCTGGTGAGGCCCCGCCCTCTGCCCTCTGGACTGGGCTGGCCTTTCATCCTCCCTGCTGGCCCGCCCGCCCCTCCTCCAGCGGTCCAGCCTTCCCACGTCTGCCTGGGCTGAACTCCATCAGAATAACCGGGCAGAGAAAACAGCCAGAGTTCTAGCCTCATATCCGACCTACGGAATCTGGGGGGTAGGAACCAGGGCTCTGCATTTTTAAAAAGCAGTCCCAGTCAATACTATGACTAGCCAGGCTTGGGAACCACAGTAAGCAAATCGGCATCTCAAGGGGCCGTGCCCTGGGGAAAGGAGCAAGGTGTGAGTTTCACCAGACCTGACTTCCCTTTGCTGACTGCTGACTGCTGAGGCCCCTGCCACTGAGGGCCAGCACAGCTGCTGAGCTGAGACTTCCAGGCTGAGACTGCTGTGCCCCTCAGGCAGAGGGCCAGGTGTCCTCAGGCAGACAGGGCCTGGCACACAGAGGTGTCCAGTGATCACTGGCTGCGTGAATGAACACAAATGGGTGAGCTGATGAATTATTCACTGGGCACCCAGGAGAGGCAGGGAGGGAGTTAGGCTACTGTCTGAGGCGGGAGGAACTGGATGGCAGGCGCTGCCCCTCCCCAACACAGAGCCAGATGGGGGAAGGACAGAGGGGACTTTTCAACAGAAAACCCAGCCTGACTAGGCTGGCATAGGGGTGGCAGTGAGCCTTAGGGCAAAGCTGTCTCCGTTCTGAGATTCATAGCCCTTCCTCCTCAAGGGCAGAGGGCCCAGGTTTCCCTGCGGGGGCGGGGTGGGAGGCCAGCGAGGCACTGGAGAGAGAGTTCTGGGTCCTGGCCCTGCACAAGAGCACGCTTCTCTCCAGGCCTCAGACTCCCAGTCCGACTGTATGACCCTGACTGATTTCCAGTTCCCATTCCGCCTCTTTCCCAGGTGACAGGAGGGGAGGGCTTTGAGATGGAAGGAGAGAGGGTTCCACCTCTGATCATCCAATGTGGGCAGTGTGTGGGGGGGTCCCATCCTCGACATGGGGCCTTTCCAGAGAAATCCAGGACCTGGCCAGATGGCAAAGGAAAGGGTGGTTATAGCAGGAATTTCCAAGGTGTTGGGGATTGGACAGGGAATACAGACAGAGGTTCTGCAGAGAAGGGGTGACTTGGTGGAGTCAAGGGACATCCCTACTGGGGGGGATGTGCTGGTGCTGGGTGAGTGAGTTCTGAACTGGACTGGAGAGAGATGTGATCAGAGTTCTGTGTCTGCCTGTCCCTGGCTGTCAGTGTACCACCTCCCCCCATGGTCCCCGCTCACCGAGAGCTTACAGCAGCTGTCTCCACCTTTCCCAACCATTTTCTCTAGCGTAAACATTGGCGACTGGACATGGCAAAGTGCCCCAGCACAAGGCTTGGTACAGAGTCAGTGCTTAATGTTTGCTAAATGAACAAATGGGTGAATAGGAATGAATGAATGGGCCAGGTGTTGTGGCTCACACCTGTAATCCTAGCACTTTGGAAGGCTGAGCTGGGAGGATTGCTTGAGACCAGGAGTTGGAGACCAGACTGAGCAAGAGCAAGACCTCATCCTACAAAAAACAGAAAAATTAGCCAGGCATGGTGGCACACACCTGTAGTCCCAGCTACTCGGGAGGCTGAGACAGGAGAAATGCCTGAGCCCAGGAGTCTGAGGTTGCTGTGAGCTATGATGATGCCACTGCACTCTAGACCAGGTGACAGAGTGAGACTCTGTCTCAACAACAACAACAAAAAAAGAATGGTGTAGAAAAAGAAAATTCCGGAGTCTTCCAGCCTGGATGTAGACGGGAACAAAGTTCTAAGTTCCCTGCCTGGCTCCAACAGGGTCTGATCACAAGGAAGATCATGGCAGTTGTGGATGGGGGGAGCAGTTACAGCCATGGGCAGATCCCTGGCCTTGGAGACCCCTGCCTTCCCCTCTACCAGCTTTGTGCTGTTTATAAGCAGGCCTCAGCTGGCAGTGCCCCTCCTTTTCCCACACTTCTTCCCCCATAGGTGTGACATCCAGGTTTTTCTGGGGTTGAGGAGGGGACCAATGATCTCCAAACCACAGCAGAGCAGGAGGTAGGAGGTAGGAGGTAGGGGTGGGAGGGAGTTAACATTAATTGAGCAACTGCCATATGCCAGGCCCTTTGCTTATATGATCTCATTTGTGATCACAGTCTTTGTGGAATGTACATTATCGCCTTTCATTTCCTGATAACGGACATTGCATCCTCCATGAAAGTAAGGACCATGTCTGTCTCGTTCAACACTTGCCACAGATTCCTAGCCTATAACATAGCGACCAGGACAACAGACATTCACAGATTACTTCTTGAATGAGTGAAAAAATGAATGAATGCAAAAACCTTCAAGGGGTTCTGTTTATCAGGAGAGAGAACCACATAAATACATGCATGCGTGAATAGAATAGGGAATGGAAGATTCTCTAACAGAGGGATGTGGGAAAACAAGTAGAAAGGAGAGAGTGATGAAGTCTGCTTGGTGGGCGGACAGGAAGGCTTTGTGGAAGAGGAGCTGTTTCAGTCAGACTTGGAGGAAGAGTAGGAACTTATCATGTGAGTAGAGGGGGTGAGAGGGCCCCCAGCAGAGGAATCTGCCTGGGCTAGGTGGTCTAGCACCTAGCGGTGGTGGAGATGCACCACCATGGTAGGTGAGAATGGCTGGGTCATAGGGCAGGGGTCAGAGGGCACTGCAGTAAGTGGGCTGGAGCAGAAGACAGGAACCAGATTGTGGGGTAAGCAGGGGCTGCTCATGTGCCAAGCCAAGGATAGGAACTGTCTCCTGAGGCCCGTGGGGGCCACTGCAGGGCTGAAGCAGAAAGAGATGGAAGTAGATCTGAGTCTCAGGAAGATCAGTGGGGCTGCTGTGAGAAAGACAGATGGCAGTGCAGGATGGAGAGAGCAGGTGGGTGGCTGAGGAACCACCAGGCAGAACAAGGCTGTGCCCATGGGCCTGGGGCAGCAGACACAGAGATGTTCAAGAAGGATGCTTGGCAGGACTTCCCGAAAGCATGGATGGGAATGAAGATGTCAGAGGTGTCAGGATGTCACCAGGGCTTCTCGTCTGAATGGGCTATTTTCTGCTAGTTCAGGAAGATGAAGACTCAAAGGCTAACAAAATGCTAGATGCCATCAGCACCACCCAGCACAGGACAGAACTGTGTCGGCCCGATGGGCCCAGGTGCCTAGGGATGTTCCTGTATCAAATATGGCAGAGCTAGGGAAGGGACCAAGGTGGAAGAGGAGACACTGCAGCCGAGTCTGACCCGATGGTCAGGCCTTTCTAGTCTAGAAGGAAAGAGGCGAAGGGGGATGGGCAAGAGTCCAGAAAACCAAGAACAGGTTTTGCCACCTTATTGCCAAGGGCTCAACACAAAGCTTCAAAAATGGAAACCTAATGGAGTTTAAGTACAACTGCAGAGGGCCAAATTCCTGGCTAACAAGACAGCGCAGAAAGGAAGAGGGCTGGAGCTCCAGGGGCCCAGCCTGCACTTCTAGGGTAGAGGACAGCCCTAACTCCACCCTTGTCTGCCCCAGGATCTGGGGGTCCTGGCCAGTCAGCTCTCTGGCTGCAGAGAAACTGCATCCTGTGGAGAGGTGGTGAGGACATCTATGAGCCCCTCTGGCATGGCGCATGCCAGGAGGTGACACAGACACTTGCTGGCCCTCTCTGGGCCTGGTTTTCTCCAGCTGTAAAAGGGAGGGTTGATCTAAATGGTAGTTATGGTGCCTTCTGGATTTCATCTTCTGTTACTGATTGGACTCTAGGGTTGACTCTGGGGCTCAGGGTGCACGTGGCGAGGAGAGGAGTGGGGAAAATGGAGAGGGCAAGGAAACAGAAAAGCCACCAGGATCAGGGCCTGGGACTTCAGGAGACCAGGAGAATGGACACAATGAATGACTGTGTCCATACTCCTCTTGGGCCCAGGAGGGTGGGTGACCTCAGAGGGTCCCTGTGTGTGCCCCTTGCAGGTGTTCTCCGTGGCGCCCCCGTTTGAGATGAATGGCCTCCCACGAGTTGTGCCTCTGAGCCTGCCCTACCATGACTTCAAGAGAGACCTCTCCGAGTACCGAGAACGGGCACGGTTTATCAACAGGGTCCGGAGGGTGGGCTTCTCACACATGCTGATCGCCACCCCCATCTCGCTGGATCCTGTTGAACCTCAAGCTAATGGGAAAGAGGAAGAGGAGGAGGAGGAGGAGGACGAGGAAGACGAGGAAGAGGAAGAAGAGGAAGACGAGGAAGACGAGGAAGAGGAGGAGGAGGAAGAGGAGGAGGAGGAAGAGGAGGAGGAGGAGGAGGAGGAAGCCGCCGCAGTGGCCCTGGGGGAGGTGCTGGGGCCACACAGTGGCTCTAGCAGTGAGGGCAGCGAGAGGAGCACCGACCGGAGCCAGGAGGGCGCCCCGTCCACACTGCTGGCTGATGACCAGAAGGAGTCCAGGGGCCGGGCCTCCATGGCAGATGGGGACCTGGAGCCTGAGGAGGGCTCCAAAACGCTGGTGCTCGTCTCCCCTGGCGACATGAAGAAGTCGCCTGTCACTGCCGAACTGGCCCCCGACCCCGACCTGGGCACCCTGGCTGCCCTCACTCCTCAGCACGAGCGGCCCCAGCCCATGGGCAGCCAGCTGGACGTATCTGAGCCAGGCACCCTGTCCTCCGTCCTCAAGTCTGAGCCCAAGCCCCCAGGGCCTGGGGCAGGGCCGGGTGCTGGGGCAGTGACCACAGGGGCAGGGGGCATGGCAGTCACCTCCTCACCCTTCACCAAAGTCGAGAGGACCTTTGTGCACATTGCAGAGAAAACCCACCTCAATGTCATGTCTTCCGGCGGACAAGCCTCTCGGTCTGAGGAGTTCAGCCCTGCGGGCGAGCTGGGTCTGGAGGTGCCCTCTGATGGGGGCGCTGAGGAGGGGGCCCTGGTGCCCCTGGAGAATGGCATCACCCTGTCAGGGCTGGATGGGGCCCAGATGGAGAACTGTGCCCTGTCTGGGCCCCCCAGGGAAACCCCCTCAGAGGTGGCCACAGACTCACTGCCTAATGGCCCAGCCCTGGCTGACAGGCCGGCCCCAGCATCCCCACTGGAGCCAGGCCCTGAGAAAGTGGCCACCATCTCCCCCAGCCGCCATGCCATGCCAGGCCCTCGCCCCAGGAGCCGTATCCCTGTCCTGCTGTCCGAGGAAGACACCGGCTCGGAGCCCTCGGGCTCACTGTCGGCCAAAGAGCGGTGGAGCAAGAGGATCCGGCCACAGCAGGACCTGGCACGGCTGGTGATGGAGAAGAGGCAGGGCCGCCTGCTGCTGCGGCTGGCCTCAGGGGCCTCCTCCTCCTCCAGCGAGGAGCAGCGCCGCGCCTCAGAGACGCTCTCAGGCACGGGCTCCGAGGAGGACACGCCTGCCTCCGAGCCCACGGCCGCCTTGCCCAGGAAGGCTGGGCGGGTGGCTGCCACCCGGAGCCGGATCCCCCGCCCCATCAGCATCCGCGTGCCCACGCCTGCTGCCGCCCAGCAGCCCCCCAGCAGACCCCACGGTGCGGCCCCGGCATCTGACACAGCCATCACCAGCAGGTGAGAAACCACTGCCAGCCCCCGAGTGGGCAGGGGGTGACCGCAGAAGGCCTCCAGCAGCGGGGGCTTCTCTAGAGCCAAGGTCAGGGGCTATGGGAGATCAGGAGGGACTCTCAGCTCCACCTCCTGTCCACCACCTCCTCACTCTGACTCAGGGCCCAGCCCTGTCCCTAGGCTTGAGGAAGTGGCTACAGTACGCATGTCTGGAAGGGGGTTGGGAGAACCAGCCTCGGGAAAAGTTGATGGGGGCCCTGGGGTACGCACAGAGCTTCTGCCGTGCCGGGGACATTGGAGGCCAAAGGATAAAGCCAAGGGCTTTGAATAGTTGGGAGAAAACATTTCATGTTAATACAAGCACAGATATATCATAGATTAGAGTGCAAAATCCAGGAGAATTTTAAAGATGAAACAGAGACCTCAAACAAAGCCTGCAGCACGCTCTTATGGCAACAGTCTGGGAGCATGTGGCCCTTAAAGGCCCTGCCCTGGAGGACAGCGCACCAGGCCTCGGTTTACCCATCTGTGCTATGATCTCTTCGGTCTCATCCAGCTCTGAGAAGGCAGGACTTTAGGGCTCAGTGTCCAAAAGGATTCTGAAAATGTCCTCCTTTTTTTTTTCTTTGCCCTCTTCTTTTCTCTTGCCTTCGGCTCCTCAAGCAGGCTCCAGCTGCAGAAGCCCCCAGGGCAGGCCGTTGCTGCTGACCTCCGCCCCAAACAACCTCCGGGCCAGGGCCCAGGACGAGCCCAAGCCGGCTCCAGGGCCCCCGCCCCCCGCAGTCCGGGCCTCCCAGCCTCTGCCGCGCGCCATCCCAGCGCGTCCCCGCGAAGCCAGTCCCTGTCCCGCAAAGAGAGCCCCTCGCCCTCGCACCAGGCCCGGCCGGGCGCCGCCCCACCCCGGGGCGTCTCGCAGGCCCGGGCCCAGCCTGACGGCACCCCCTCCCCGGGAGGCCCCAAGAAAGGACCCAGAGGGAAACTCCAGGCTCAGCGCGCAGCAACCAAAGGCCGGGCTGGGGGCGCAGAGAGCCGGGCGGGGGCCAGATAATGACGCCTGCGGCTCTCTGCGGCCCCCTACCCTCACCCTGGTCCCCCACCCGCAGCCGGCCACACTGGAACAGCTCCCAGCACAGCCTTACGCGCCCGCGCGCGCCACCCGCGGCCCCAGCTTCCCGCCTGCACCCGCGAGGACGCGCGGGCACACGCCGCAACCTGCCAGCCTGCCGGGCGGTGGGGGACACGGCGCCGTGCCGCGGGGGAGGGTCCGCCTTCCCCTCCTCTCCCCGTCTCCTCCCCTCCCCCGCTCTCCTTCGGGAGAGGCGGGCTCACACCGGTCCCCCGGCCCAGGAGAAGGCTCAGCCACTCTTCACCGAGGACTCCACTTCTGGGGACACTCCATTCACCCACCAGGCCTTGGCTGCTCTCCACGCTCCCCCTCTGCTTACACCTCCTTCAGCACCTAGCCCTCCTCCCAGCCTTTTTCCAGCGCCCCCCCCCTCCTTTCAGAGAAGCAGCCTCAATTTCCAGAAGTGAGGGCCAACCCCATAGTCTCCTGGGAGTGCTGGTGGTGGGGGTGGTGGTGGTGGTGGAGGAGGAGGAGGAGGAGGAAGGCCTCTGGATTGCCCATCAGTCTACTCAGGTGTGAGGGGGCAGGTCTGACCTGTCCCAAAGTCGGCTCCATCCTGGACAACCCAGTGGGAGGCAGTGGCAGATGATTCTTGGGGGCAGTGTGCTCCCCTGCACCACCGGGGTGCAGAGCCCCTGGGCCTCAGTGGGAACCACGAGAGGTCTGTGGGCCGCCTTCCTGGCAAATGTTTCCCAGTGGGAGGTTGGGGCTTTAAAAAAAGTTTTGCCCCTTCCCCTGGTCCCCTGATCTAGTGCTCAGGACCCCTCACCATCAGGAATTCCTTCCTGTCATCTAACCTCAGTCCTGCCTGCTGCAGTTTCGGCCAGCTTCCCTCTCTCCTGAGTTCAGTGCAGGTGGAGGGTAGCTGGGTATCATCTCTGCGCTGGCCCTTTGGAGATTCAGGGACTCAGTTCAGGCTGTGTTACCCTCCGTGTCCTCCCAGCTATGGGGAGTGGGCTGGCTCGGGCATCATCTCCCCCAGCGGGCAGAGAGCTTGGAGACAGGTGGCCCTACAAACAGCTGGGCCCTGGAGGCAGAAAGGCCCTTCTAACTTCCCTGACTGTGTGCTTGTGTGATGGGTCCCCAGCTCAGGCCCACTCCTCCCTCAGCTCCCCCCAGGCTGTGCTCTCCTGCTCCAGCCCCAGCCCAAGCAGCCGCCCTGCTCCCTGAGTGGATGAGGGGCCTCCTGCTGGGTTCTGGCTCCTGCATAGCTCACCCACCTCATCATGAGCCTCAACTGCCTACATCGGGGCAAGCAGCACACCAGCTGCAGCAGAGACAACTAACCTTGCCTATTTGGGACGCCCCCCCCCATAGGCCTCCTCCATCCTCAGCACCCTCGGTCTCTGCTCCCTGGCCTGGACCCTCTGTCCTTCCCTGAGCCACAGAGAGCAAGCCAAGACATCCAGGGGAAGAGGAAGGAAGGCCTCAGTGTGCCCCAGCGGTCTGGTTGCATCCAGGCACCGTCATTCAGAAGGATGCCCACAAAGAAGCTGACCCCAGGAGCAGCCTGGTGGTGCCAGCTGAACCCTTCGTGGAGAGTCAGCAGGCTCGGGCAGCTGCTTCCATGCCAAGGTGGCAGCTTCCCTGTAGACCAGCCCAGGGGAGGACTCCAGGGTGGACAGCCTTCAAGGTCCACCCCATGCTGATGCAGAAGCTCCCAGAACACTCAGGAAACCTCTCTGGACAGAGCCCTCCTTGTCAACCTGAGTCCCTCCCAAGGCTCTCTGCTGCCATCTGGGTCCAGCAGAGGGGGTGGAGGAGGGGCCACTGCCTCCCACCTAGAGCTTCTCCGAATGACAATCAGCTTGTGCCAGGTGGGGACCAGGGCATGAGCCCTGGTGCCCAGCCCCTGGGCCTGCTCCGAACCATGAATGTAGGGCCCCCAGCCTCACTTCTGCTCCAGGACCAACAACACCCTGGTTTGGAGCTGGGAAGAAGGGGGTGCCTGAGAGAGCCCCAGGTCCATACCATCCCCAGTTTCACCCAGCACTGGAGCTGGCAGAGATGCAAAATCCAGTCTGCCCTTGGGATTCCAGACCTCCCTAGGGCTCCCAACTGACCTCAGGCCTCTGAGTCATTGAATGTCACCAGGCGACAGGGGCGGGGGAGGGGGTGAAGAGGGCCAGTGGAGAGAGGGGCAGCAATGGGACTGGCTCTGCTCCTCTCCCCAGGAAGGATCCAGGGCAGAGGAAACCACATCGCTCAGTGCCCCCACGCCCAGCTGCAGCCTCTTCTCCCTTGAGTATCCATCCCTCCACCAGGCCCCCCTGGTCCTGAGCACCTCCTCTGTAAAAGAGTGTCACACCACTGCTGTAGCCTGCCTCCCCCCAGCCTTTCCCATCACGACAACCTATGTTACTGGCTCAGATGCGGGGTCTGCTCACCCCAGAACACGCCTTCCCTCCCCAGCTGCACCATGCACGAAGGGGGCACACGAGTGGGGCCATGCCCCAGTCCCATGGGCTCCCCCTTCCCTGCTCCTTGCAGGGGCTGGGATAGGCTTGCTCAGTCTTCTCAGCTCCAGGGACCAGCCCTGGTGGGCATGGGGTGGGGAGCAGGGAGTTGCCTTCCCCATCCCTCGGGAAGCCACCTAAGAATGTTTACACGCCAAACAGAATGTAACACCCACGCCACCCCTACCCAGTCACTGCATGGCCTCTGTCCATCCTGCGCCTGTCCACCCCACCCCAACGGAAGCTGCCGTCATGATTAGATTGGGTCTCAGAAGGGAAGTAGCCATCACACCATTAAAAAGCCTGTGGACCTTTCTTTCTGTTGGCCTGAACTCTTCTTCCCTTTGGGAGGGCAGGGCAAAGCCAGCTCCTGGGGCTAGGGGTGGCCAAGAGAGAAGAGCCAGGTTGGTGGGCAAATGTGAAGGGGCCATGCTGGAGGCAGAGGGGGAAATGAAGGCTCAGAACAGACACAGGTAACTTGTTCGAGTGGCACAGAAGGAAGGGGACTGTCCTGCTATCACTCTGAGTGCAAACCTGGCATTCTCTCAGCCCTGTGGTCGCTTCTCCTGAGAGCCATAGACTCTGAGTCTGCCTTTGTGCAGGGAGACAGGGAGGAAGAATTTTCATTGCCCCAAAAGTACAGACAAAAGTGCAAGTGTTTGTAATACCCATTATTATTGTAGCAAAATCTATCAGATCACAAGTGAGCATAGCTGTGACACAGCATATCCACCTGTAGAAATTTACCCCGTGGATATACTTGTACACTTGCAAAATGACTGTCCAAATTCGTTAATTGCAGCTTTCTTTGTATATTAATAGCTCCACAAAGCCCTGTCTGCAATGCTGAATCCCAGAAAGTTCTGAAAACTAGGAGTTTTCCTGAGATTGACACAAACTCATTTGGTATCAAAAACCTGACAAGACCATTTATAATCTTTATTAATTCCACTTATCATACATGTTTGCAGTGGAAATATTAGTTTGTTTGACTATGGGGTAACACTCCAGATCCTGTTAGGGTATTTCATAATATTTGGAATACACACCAAATGACCTTTCTAAATATATATACAGTTGAACTTTGAACGTCATGGAGGTTAGGAGTGCTGACTCCCCACACAGCTGAAACTCTGTGTATTTCTTTTGACTTCCCTAAAACTTAACTACTAATAGCCTACTATTGACCAAAAGCCTTACTGATAACATAAACGGTCAATTAACACATATTTTGTATGTTGTATTTATTATGTGTTGTATTCTTACAATAAAGTAAGCTAGAGAAAAGAAAATGTTTTAAGAAAGTCATAAGGAAGAGAAAATATATTTACTGTTCATTAAGTGGAAGTGGATTGTCATAAAGGTCTTCATCTGCATCATCATCTTCATATTAAGTAGGCTGAGGAGTAAGAGGAGGAGGAGGGGTTGGTTTTGCTGTCTCAGGCATAGCAGAGGCAGAAGAGGTGGAAGGAAGTGGAAGGGGAGGCAGGAAGGAAGTGGAAGGGGAGGCACACTCAGTGTAACTTTTATTGAAAAAAATCCATGTATAAGTGGACCCATGCAGTTCAAACCCATGTTGTTAAAGCATCAACTGTGTGTGTGTGTGTGTGTGTGTGTGTGTGTGTGTGTGTGTGTGTGTGTGTGTGTAGGTGATCCAATGGCTTGAATAAGAGGCTGTGCACCTATAAAAGTTCAGAAGCAATGTAAAGTCCATAAACTGGGACTGGTCAGTAGAGCATGGCCCACCCATTCAATGGAGACCCCATCGTGGGTTACTGTGAGACTCTAAAATGAAGGAGGCTAGCCAGGCATAGTGGCAAGCCCCTGTGGTCACAGCCACTTGGGAGACTGAGGAGGGATGATTGCTTGAGCCCAGGAGTTTGAGGCCAGCCTGGGCAACATTAGCAAGATCTCATCTCTAAGTTAATTAATTGATTAAACGAAGGAGTCATCTCTTTGTATACACTTATGGACCAGTCTTCAAGATCAAGAATAAGAAAAAGAAGTATACAAGGCACTTGATTAAATTAAAAGGCGTCTGCACATGCAAATAAACAATCAACAGAGAAAACAGACAACCTACAGAATAAGAGAAAATATCCACATGCTGTATATCTCACAAAGGGCTAATGACCAGACTCTACAAAGAACTCAAGCAAATCAGCAAGAAAAAAATCAAACAACCCCATTAAAAAGTGGGCAAAATACATGAAGAGAAGCTTTTCAAAAGAAGATAGATGAATGCCCTATGAATATATGAAAAAATGTTCAACGTCACTAATTATCAGAGAAATGCAAATCAAAACCACAACAAGATATCATCTAACCCACATGAGAATGGCTTTTATCAAAATGTCCCAAAACAATAGTTGCTGGCATGGATGTGGAGGGATAGGAACACTTACACACTGTTGGTGGGACTGCAAACTAGGGCAACCTCTGTGGAAAACAGTATGGAGATTCCTCAGGAACTAAAAGTAGACCTACCATTTGATCCAGCAATCCCGCTACTGGGTATTTACCCAAAGGAAAAAAAGTCATTTTATCAAAAAGACACTTGTACTAGAATGTTTATTACAGCATAATTCACAATCACAAAGATGTGAAATTAACCCGAGAGCCCATCAATTCATGAGTGGATTAATAAAATGTGGTCTATGTACACCATAAAAAAATGAATTAATACCTTTTGCAATAGTCTGGATGGAAATGTGGACCATTCTCCTAGGTGAAATATCTAAGGAATGGAAAAACAAACACCACATGTACTCACTGTTAAATTGGAACTAACCGATCAGCACTCATATGTACAGAAGGAAGTAAAACGTAATGGAAATCATGCAGGTGGGAGGGGGGAGGAGGGGAAGGGTGAAATCATAGCTCACTGGTACAATGTACACTATCTCGGTGATGGACACACAACTTTGACTTAAGCAGTACAAAAGCAATTCATGTAACCCAAACATTTGTACACCCATAATATTCTGTAATTAAAAAGAAAAAGAAAGAAAAAGAGGTGTGAGTCTAATGTACAACTCTTTGTGTAGAAAGGCAGGTTAGATGGGTTAGAGGTCTCTGGCCTCCACAGGGGAGGAGAGCTAGGTGGAAGGGACGGTTTGCTGTCGTGTTCATGCTGTATCTTTTGCATTTTGAACCCTAGGTTCACTAGGTGTGAATCATTCACTTAGTCGATACATAAACAATTTTTGTCCCAGGCCAGGCTCCTGGCCCCACCTGGGGTCAGGGGTAAAAAGGTCTAGGCTCCCAAAGTTCTCTGCTTTCCCTCCGAGAAAGCCACTCTCTGACATGCCAGAACCATCATGGCCTCCTGGGACCCCTTTCCTCCAACGCAGATGCTTGTGGGCTCTAGGGCCTGACTCACCAGCCTTCAGTGAGGCCCCATGTGCTTTCACCTTTCTTCTTGTATAAAATGTCCAAAGCAGGAAATACTTGTAGCAAAAATGCAAACGCTAAAAGCATATAAAACATGAAAGCCCCACTCCCTGTCCATGAAGCTGACCATCTAAAGGTAACACTTGTGAATAGCTTGGTGTGTACCATTTCAGACCTTCTTTTCCATGTTTATAATAATAGCACACTCTCTCTTTCTCACTATATATATTTCTTTTTTTTTTTGAGACAGAGTCTCGCTTGTTGCTCAGGCTATAGTGAGTGCCGTGGCGTTAGCCTAGCTCACAGCAACCTCAAACTCCTGGGCTCAAGTGATCCTTCTGCCTCAGCCTCCCGAGTAGCTGGGACTACAGGCATGCGCCACCATGCCCGGCTAATTTATATATATATATATTAGTTGGCCAATTAATTTCTTTCTATTTATAGTAGAGATGGGGTCTCGCTTTTGCTCAGGCTGGTTTCGAACTCCTGACCTCGAGCAATCTGCTCGCCTCGGCCTCCCAGAGTGCTAGGATTACAGGCGTGAGCCACCGTGCTCGGCCTATATATATTTCTTATAAAAAGAGGAGCATATACCTATTCTTATGAAACATGATTTTTATGCCCAACAATGTGTCTTAAAATACAGATCTTCCTCAACTTTTAAAAAAATGACTTTATTGAGATATGTTACATACCATGTAATTCACTAATTTAAATTGTACAACTCGGGCTGGGCGAGGTGCCTCACGCCTGTAATCCTAGCACTCTGGGAGGCCAAGGCGGGCGGATTGCTCAAGGTCAGGAGTTCGAAACCAGCCTGAGCAAGAACAAGACCCCATTTCTACTATAAATAGAAAGAAATTAATTGGCCAACTAAAATATAGAGAGAAATTAGCCGGGCATGGTGGTGCATGCCTATAGTCCCAGCTACTCAGGAGGCTGAGGCAGGAGAATTGCTTAGGCCCAGGAGTTTGAGGTTGCTGTGAGCTAGGCTGACGCCACGGCACTCACTCTAGCCTGTGCAACAAAGTGAGACTCTGTCTCAAAAAAAAAAATAAATAAATAAAAAATAAATTGTACAACTTAGTGGTTTTTAGTTCACTCATAGAGTTGTGCAACCATCACCACAATCAATTTTAGAATATTTCCATTATCCCAAAAAGAAACTCCCTACTTATTTGCTGTCACTCTTATTTTATCCCAACCCCTACAGTCCTAGGCAATCACTAATCTTTTTTCTGTCTGTAGATTTTCCTATTTTGGACATTTCATATAAATGAAATCATATAATATGTGATCTTTTTGTGACTGCCTTCTTTCACTTAGCATGTTTTCAAGGTACTTCCTTATTGTAGCATTAATCAGTACTTCATTCCTTTTTATTGCCAAATAATTAATATTATGTAGATATACCACATTGTTTATCCATTTATCAACTGATGTACTCTGGGTTGTTTCCACTTTAGGCTGTTACGAATAATGCTGCTGTGAACATTCATGTACAATTTTTGTGTGAATATATATTTTTGTTTCTCTTAGGTATATACCTAGAAGTGGAATTGCTGGGCCATATGGTAATTTTATGTTTAACATTTTGAATAATTGCCAAACTTTTCCAAATTGGCTAACCCATTTTATATTCCCACCAGCAATGATGAAGATGCTCATGTTCTTTTTAATGGCTACATAATATTCCATGGCATGGATGTTTCATAATCTATTTAACCAGCTCCATATTGGTTTTTCCTTAGACTCTTTCCAACTTTTCACTATTTGAAATGGTGCCAAAATGAACATCTTGGCTCCAACCTTCGCTTACTTCTGCAAGTCTAACTCTAGGAGTAATCCCCAGAAAAATTAAATAGATAAAAAATGGTACCTTGTTCTATTTTTAAATTTCTTTGATTATTATTGAGAATGAA